GGAGTCCCTATTACCTGTAAAGCGCTTTGAGTGGAGTGTCCAGAAAAGCGCTATATAAGTGTAAGCAATTATTCTTCTTATTATTATCATCCGACGCTCTGGGCTGCCTGCCTGGTTATCTTTTTCAGTGCAAACCGAAGAGTTCTGTCCTCTTTGACCATAATTTGTTATGTCGCTGTTTTGTTGCGTTCCAGTTTCTCTGTGCAGAACCAGTGCTGGAATTTTCCAAATGCCTAACGAGGGAATGGGTCTCGTTCCCTTCCGGAAATTGACATACACTCTGTTGTTTAAAATACATTGCATGTTTTTAGTGTCGGCCCTCTGTTGTCCTTTTTTGCTTTGTAGTTTTTATAATAATCCAAACAGTTTAAAGGACTACCTTGAGAAAAGTTTGCACTGGGTTGTTAATGTTCTGCATTGCCCTTTTCACACTAAGGTTAGGGTACTAGGGTTAGGTTACTAGGATTAGGGTTAGGGTACTGGGTTCAGGATTATGGAACTATTTGTTTATAATTTAGGGTTAGGATACTAGGATTAGGGCTAGGTACTATAACTCGGGTTAGGATAGTAAAATGAGGGTAAGGGAACAAGGATTAGGATTAAGTACTATAATTAGGGTTAGGGTCCTGAGATTAGGATTAGTTACTATGACCAGGATTAGGATAGTAAGGTGATTTTTAGGGAACAAGAATTAGGATTAGGTACTATAAGTAGGGTTGTGGTTCGAATACTACGATTAGGATTAGGTACAAAAATTGGGGTCGGAAAACTAAGATTAGAATTTGGTACTATAATTAGAGTTAGGGTACTAGGATTAGGATTAGGTACTATGATTAGGTTTATGGTAGTAAGGTGAGGTTTAGTGTACTAGGATTAGGCCTAGGAACTATGTTCAGGGTTAGGTTAATAAAATGAGAGATAGGATTGGGATTAGGTATTATACTAAGGGTTAGGGTACTAGGATTAGGACTTTGTACTATGATTAGGGTTAAGGTTAGTGTAAATGCCCGAATAGCTCAGTTGGTAGAGCATTAGACTTTTAATCTGAGGGTCCAGTGGTCAAGTCCTGGCGGTTGTGCTTGCCAGCAGCTATATCACTCTGCAACTCACAACTGGCA